TTTTAAATAAAAAATAAAAAATTATTATTTTTAAATAAAAAATAAAAATTAACATTTTTATTTATATATTTTCTTAGGAAGAGAATCATGGAGTTTGCTTGGAAGAAAACCATGGGGTTTGACTGGTGAGGTTTTGGTCTTCAATGAGCAGAACCTAGATTGGGTCGGCAGTATTTTGTTTTCTTCGAATTCGGATGGGTGTCGTGAGCAGCTCATGTTTATCTGCAATTCTGCAAAGCGCAAACTACAAGGAATTGAAGGGTTCTCCGATAATGACCTCTGTACTACAAGTGGTGCGTGGGAATCGTCACTTCTCAGTTTAGTTACTCTTCTTCAGTTTTAAATGTTACAAGTAGAGTTACTTATAGTTGGTTAATTTTTTTTTAAATAAATTTGTAAAGGATTAAATTTGAATCATTATTAAAAAAGAAAGATATGCATTTTATATGTGGCCTGAAATCGCTAGATTAAATGCCCAAGTGCTACTTATAGTTGATTAATTAGATACTCAAATAAAATAACTTTTTATATGGTTAATTGACTTATTTGAAAGGAGCACATCTTTGTATATTAATGTTACGCGTAATTATATTTTAATTTATAAATTAGGTAATGTGGCTTGTCATACATGAAGGTGATGTATTTTTTAATTATTAATAAAATTTATAATATTTATATAAGAAAAGAAACCTAGCTCATAAATTATGAATTTTTTATTTAACATTTAATAAAAATAAAAATTATTAAATAAGGGACACAGTTTTCATAGTTAATTTTTTGAATTAAATTGACTTGAAAATCAAAACGGATATGTATTTATTAATTAAAGGTGTGTTTGGGATTATGGTTGAGATCATTTTTCTTATAATTATACAATATTTTTAGATAAATATGTATTCGATAAATTTTTTTCAAATTATTTTTATAAAAATTGTGAAAAATTACAACAAATCTATAGCAATTTTATGTATAAAACTAAAAATTTTATTTTGAGCTTTTTAGTTGTAATTTTTATGGATAACATAATATTTAATATAATTACAAAATTATTCATTAAAATCAAATCTTATTTAATTCAATTACATCATAATTTATAATGCTATATTTAAATTTAATCTCTTATTTATTTGAAGATTTCTCATTCTCCTTTTATAAGTTGTTTTCTTACAAATCCCAAAAAAAATCTATCATAAGAAACCTAAAAACCTTAAATTATTAATAAATAATAAATTTTATTTATTTTAGTAATTATCATTATATAATATTTTTTAAATTTTTATTAATAATTAATAAAATTTATTATATTTTATTTATAACATTTTAAAAAAATAAATAATTAAACATCAAAATAAATTATAATTATAATTATAATATAACATGATTTAATATAATTAAAACTATAAATATAATTACAATATTTCATACCAATTCTAAACGCCAACTTTAATTCTTGTGAATGGTATCAAGAAATCATAAAAAAACAATAGTGACGTTTCTTCCTTTTGTAACTTTATCGGTACTGTCATTTTTTCTATTTTTAGGAATTAGTACTATCATTTTGAGAAATCAAAACCTTATTATCAATTTTTAAAAATTTTGTATTTGTTAAAAGCTTATTAAAAGAAATAGTGCCTCAAGCCTTTAGAAATGATGCTCAACTAGGAAGTCTAAGATAATTAATTGAATGAAAAAAAGAGGACAAGATATACAGGTAGAAAATCTTGTCCTCTAACCAAATTTTGTGTTAAAATTTTAATTTCTGTTTTTTTTTTTAATTTAACCAATAGAATTTTAGTTGAATTAATATTGTTAATTTAAAATTTTGAATTTTGGGGTAAGTTCAAACCTACCTAACTGCATCTAGCCGTTGGGGTCAAGTGGTCTCTGATCACATAAGATGCATTCCCCCCTCCCCGGACAGGGTTCAAACCCACCTCATGTAAAACTGTTTTAAAAAAAAAAAAAAAAAACCTACCTAACCGATCGTTGTGGCATGACATAAAAAAACATTTTCAAGAAAAGGTTGCTGTGGCCTTCACCATTTCCCTAGATATGACATCTCTGCGCCGCATGTGCCTCATCTAATGGTATACGAACTAAAATTCAAATGATTGATCAAGAACAATTTTGAAACCGTGGTAAATGGTAATCGAGTGGGTGATCAGGTCGCCTCTACACCCCTCAAACCAGGGTCTACCTCTTGCCTTCTTCACTTTTTGCTCAATTATTGAAAGTTCAAAAACAAACCTAACCAACCAATTGAAAATTTTAACCTGTTCCTGGTATAACAGCATGTTCAGTAGAAAATTTGTGATTAAAGCAAGTCGTTGCTTCCACATAAGACTTTTAACTAGATTTAGATTTAAATCTTCCCTTTCTCTAAAAAATCCCCAACATATAACCTGCTTGTTTTGAAAAAAAATGCAAAAAGCATGTACAGAGGTACTCCAATAACTTGTTATTTTTAAAAAATAGAATAGAACCATAACACGACTATTGGAGCAACAAAGAGAATACAGCTAGTCTCTTTGCCTAGAGGCCGTCTTTGTTATTATTTATTTATTCTCTTTAATTAGATTTGATTATTTTACTTTAATTTTTATGTAAAGTTTTATTAGATAATTTTACATAATAAATAAATAATAATTAAATTTTTTTCTTTTTATAATAATACCTGTTGAGTATTTTTTGCTTAAATAAAAAAGTTTTTTAATTCTAATTTATTTGCTCTATAAAATTAGTATATCAAATTTTATATAAATATCAAATTAAAATAACTAAATCAACCTAAATATAAAAGTACTGACAAGCACTCGTGGATGTCAGCTTTTATAATTGAACAGCACCTCTCTTTTTTTCCCTCCATTTTTTTAAGTTCAAATTTTAGTTTTCCTTCTTAGAGCTGCAGAAGGTGAGTTTCAATTTTTTTGTAAATTGCCCCAGATAGCCAACAACGACGTAGTTTTGTTTTGTTTTTTTTTTTTCTCTTAATTTACGGTAAAAATTGTACTAATTAAATTTTAATATACCAATCAATACACTAAAATTTGATCAATATTTTTGAAATTAGTCTGGATTCAAAATTACTCTAGTACAATTCCAAATAAGGCATAAAACTAGTATGTACCGTTGAGTATAAAACGATATTAAATCCCTAATGTAGAGGCTTGTTTGTGTCAATGTTGAGTTTAAGGACTTCTTTATCCTAGCTCAAAAGTACAAGGGCTTTTTTCCTTTTTTTTTTACAAGTTTTTCTTGCCATTTTTTGCTCTATAATAATCCGGCACAAAGGAGAAGGGGGTACGATAAGGGTTTGTTTTGTTAGATGATTAATTTTATTAAAAAATTTTATTAAGAAAGTAATTATGAAAATATTGTATGAAAAATTGATAAATTTAATAATAAGATTTTTTTAAGTTATTAACTTTTTTTATATTTGATAAAAAAATTAATATAAACAAATCAATAGAAATGTTATTAAAATCTTATACAAGAAAAATTAAGTAAAAACTCTTTCCTTACAAAAATTATAAAAGAATTTATGAATTAAAAATTGTGTTAAAGATAAAATATAAAAATATTACATTTATTTTTATTTTATTATGATATTAATTTATAAAAATATATAAATAATATTATAAAAAAATTAAAATCGTATAAAATGAAAACTTTTCCTCTTACCGAACACCCCTAATCGTGAAGTCTTCAGTAACGGTGCCTACCGTCTACCGCCTAACACGTTTTCCAAAATTACGGCACCGATTTTTTATTTTTTATTTTTTTTACTAAAAGTAATGGTTAAGAAGTTAGTATGAGTTAGTTGTTAGTAATTGAAATTTCCAGAATGATGAATATTTCACCCCCTCAAATGAGACACGCAGCCATTAAACCGCAAATTAGTGAAATTTACGATGATAACAGGATTCGAAATCTTAACCTCCACCTCACTCAAACCTAAGGTTTGGAGGCGAATCATTGTACGGTAACGATTAAGTGAGAACAAGAATTATGAATTTTAACTGTGAGTAATATGTGTTGATTATTTAAATAATTTATTGATAATTTTTTAATAAAAAATTAAAATTAAAATTATATAATATATAATAAAATAAATTAAGAGATAAAAAATTTATTTTTTATTATATAATTTAAGATTAAAAAAAAAAAACTGTGCGTAATAGTACGTCTGAATGGAAACGCATTTCACTGAATTCCGGCACCGATCAATTTTGCGGCGTGCGCGTGATCAGCTTAGCCTCGTGATGATACAGCGAGAGACAGGTAGACAAAGGGGTGGTTAGGCGAGAGGGATAATAATTTATGGGTAGCTATTCTATTGGTTACAGAACCAAATGGTAGAGCTGATGTCATGTGGTTTCATCATGGGATTTTGAAGTGATTTACGTCAGCCAAAACCAAGCCGTTGATAATTTATTACCGACAAACAATTTCTCTTTGGCAAAACCATAAGTTAAGCCCCTGAACTAACCCCAGAATCGCCATTAAACCCCTAGACTTTAATTGATGCAGTTAAGCCCTTGAACTCTGGGATCAAAGCAATTAAACCCTTCTTCTTAAGCAATTTATTTTAAAAATTAAAGTCTAAGGGCTTAATAGCGTAAGCAGAAGGGCTTAATTGCTTTGATCCCAGAGTTCAAGGGCTTAACTGCATCAATTAAAGTCTAGGGGCTTAATAGCGATTCTGGGGTTAGTTCAGGGGCTTAACTTATGGTTTTGCCTTTCTCTTTCAGTTTGCAGCAAGTTGGAAAGCGTGAGGATACTCTTATGACAGTAAAATTTGGTTAGATTTACTAAAATTTTAATTTTTTAAGGATTTTTTTAAATTTATATTTAGTTGAAAGTATAGTTATTATATTATTTTTATATTAATTATTATTTAAATAAGAATTAATTTTTATTTTTTAAATATTAATTAATATAAAAAATACAATTATTTTTAGGCAAAAGCTACAAATTATTTTTTATAACTATTGCATTGAAGTAAACTATTATTTAAAAAATTATTAACTCATAATTTGCCTATTTAAATTTTTATTGTCAAGAAATTAATTTAAATTCCATGATTATTGTTAACAATTTTAATTATATTTTAGAAATAATAATTTAACAAAATTTAATGATATTTATTAAATTTAAATCAATTTTTGAAAAATTAAAATTTAAAATAATAAATTAGACCAACATAATTTTTGAATGATGATTTGCTTCAGTACAATAATTATAAGAAGGTATTTACTTTTACATATTTGGTCATAACTTATATTTTTAGAAAAACCCTTTCTAAAAATAGTATTTTAAAATATTAATTTGTTGGCAAATTTTAACTAATTAAATCAATAAATATTAATTATTTTATTATTTATTGATTAAT